CAACACGGGCAGCAGCAGCCCCAAGAAGTCGGGGGTTGGGGGCGGGGCTGGGGCGTGTCCGAGGAGTGTGAAGCAGATCCCGAAGAGGGGGCGTGACCATGCCCATACTCAGTAGTATTCAGAGGAGCTCAGCGACGTCCGTGAGTGGCTTTTTTATCTTTATTTTATTTTTTATTTTTATTTTTTTGGGGTCTTTTTTTGTCTCCTTCTTTTGATCTCTTCTCTTTTCTCTTTTTTTTCGATCTTTCTTCTCTTTCTCTTTTTTTCGATCTCTGTCTTTCTCTTCCTCTTTCTTTTTTTTCGATCACCCCCTCTTTCGATTTCTCTCTCTCTTTATCTATCTTTGTTTCTCTCGCTCTCGCTCTCCCTCCCTCCTCTCCCCCTAACTCTCTCTCACCCTCTCACCCTCTCCCTCCTTTTAGATAGAAATCAGCTAGTAATTCTGCATATAATTATTCAAATTATTTATTAAGCTGTTATGAAATACGTGCTTAATCAACAATATCTAATACACAAATATTTTGGTAAATTTTCGCCAGTTATTCAATCTCAATTTTTATTATGTTTCCTTATAAATCCTTTATCTTCCTCAGACGGAATCCACGCCGCCCACCTCGCCCTTGGCCAACCTTCCTTACGTGTGAGGTCGTCCTTCAAAAATGGGATTTCTGAAGTACCAGTGTCTTCGAAGTCTTTTATAGAAAACGGGGTTGTGATGCGTCTACTTCTCCTGTTCCGTTTTGTTATTGTTTTTTTCATCTCTTTGGTTATTTTTCTTCTTATTTCTTGTGTTTGTTATCATCGTTCTTTTGCGTTCTTTATGGTCCTGGTGATTTCTCCAGATAAGTTAGAAAGAGGGAATAAATATCGAGACAAAGAGAGGATTCAAAGGAGAAAATGGTTCAGAAAGAAGCAGGGCAGACTTCGATAAAAAGAGGAAATTTTGTATCCGGTGGTACATAAACTCTTATAGATGATTTAGAACGATATTTGATAAGCTGAAAACAGTCTTACTCGTATCATAACTCAAGCAAGATATGACTTACCTGAGGAAGACGTATGAAAGTGACTGTGTGAGTGAAAAAAGGCAGACATCAGGATTATTTTGAAGACCGGACATTTTAGAAGAGTTCGATAACGCCAGATCTGATTATCAAAGTCATTTCGTTTGGCTTCTATCAACTTGCGGTATTTTTCTGCTGAAATATGGGATGAAGAACATTGTATAAATATCCAAGAGGAAATATACAAACAAATATAAATCTCTTAGACTGAAAAAGAAGAAAAAAATAACCAGAATATCAGATAAAGAACGAAAACAAATAACCACGTGTGTCTTTTCATCCAAGAATATGAAAGAACAAATACCTTTTACGTGTGGAAAGAACAGTGTGTTGGTGGTGGGTATGTGATTGACAGCTTATCAAATGAGATCCTCGGCTAAGTGCTAATAAAAAAAAGAAAACAAAAAACTTTAGAAAAATAGCTTAGTTTGGTGAGAGATCTGGTTTGAAATTACCATTAGGAAAGAAAAAGAAAAACAGAAACCGAATTAGTTGGGAACATAAACTCAACATGGAAAATAAAGTGATATAAGTGTACAATTTCCTTTTTAAAAAAAATCCAGAGAGGTTGTCAAAGTGATGAATTTTCAACCAGTGATTCAAAAAAAAAAAAAAAAAAAAAAAAGAACACGAAAGAGAGAGAGAGAACAAAACGAAGATATTTAAATAAAGATATCTAAACCTATATACTTCCTATAGCATACTAGACGCTATAGGCTCTCGTCTCACTCATTTTCAATAAAGAAGGAAAAAATGTCTCATAAGTATGTCATTTTATTCACTCATATTCAGTGCACTTCTTATGTCCTACCTTATTAATGTGAATTTTGGTGTCCTTTGCACACAGATGTACTACGAAAAATACAGACAATTCGTTATACACTCTACATTATTCTTCAAAGGTTTCTCTGTTTAATTAATTCATTATAGTATTTTTTTCTAAAAATGTGAATTCAAAGTGTATTATTACTTTTATTTATTCATGTGTTATTGTTGTTTATTAATAGAGATTATCTATTTATTTGTTTATCATTATTATTTTTATTATTATTATTGTCATCATTTCTGTTGTTATCATTTCATTTTATATTACTATTGTTATTATCATTATTACTATTGTTATGACTATTATTATTATTATAATTATTATTATTATTATTATTACTTACTTACTTACTTACTTACTACTAATGCTATTATCGTTAACATTATTATTACTATTGTTATTACATTGGCCTTGCCTAGCATCTCATATATGACCATTATTATTACTATTATTCTGTATATCAACATCTTTCGTAATTCTTATCATTAAAGTTTTATGTGCAATGGATAAAAAAAAATCTAGTATCAATAATTGTAGCATAATAATCGTCATTATTATGTTCCTTATGCTAATTATTACTAGTTTTATTGATGACATTATTTTTATTCTCATCCTCAGTATGTTGTTATAAATATTTTCTATTACTATTGTCATCAGTTCACCTTTTTTTTCTATGGCTTTATATGATTTTATTTTGATACAAACTGTGTGTCTGAATTAGGTTGAAACCATACAAACACACACACACACACACACACACAACAAAACAAACGCACACCACATACACAAACCGCACACAGACAACCACGCAAATCACACACACACACAAATACATACACACACACTATACACTAATAAACACAAAAGCACATAACCCCAAGAAAAGAAAAAAAAAATAATAATTATCCACGAAGCACACTCCTTCAGCTGTCAAGTACAAAAATTATATGTGTGTTTAGTACGTGTCTTGTGTGTGCCACTACCACCACCACTCCCTCTCCCCCCCCCTACCCCTTCCACCCTCCACCTTGCAATTACTGAATAAATAGATGGATCATGTAAAAAATAAAATAATCCATGAATGTAAAGTGAGATAGAAAGAAGAGAGTGAGAAAACGATTTTTTTTTTTTTTTTTTTTTTTTTTTTTTTTTTTGTAAATAGTCGCAGATTTGAAGTGTTGCCCAAAAGTGTCCGACTCTGGAGCTAGTATGAACCTGACTCGCTAGTGGTTGCTAGCCTTAAACTAGGAGGGAATTAATGCTTCTGTTGGTATTTGTTGGTTCTGTTTTGTGTCTTGTTTTTGTTTTATCACTTTTCTCTTACTAGGACTATGCTCTGTGTATATTTGTCTCTGCCTGTCTGCTTTTCTCTCTGCTCTTCTGTCTATCTGTCTCTCTCTTTCTCTTTCTCTTTCTCTCTCTCTCTCTCCTATTCCCTTCTCTCTCTCTCTGTCATTTTCCATGTACAAAAATCTTTTATTTTTGTCTACTTTACTTATCAAACCGCTTCTAGTTTTTTATCGTCATAGCTGTATTATGTAGCACGAATAAAAACAAAACAATATACTCTAATAACTCTAATAAAGAGGTCTTTTAATAACCAAAAAAAAAAGGAAAATAGTCCATGCTACTTTTTTTATTCCGCAGAAAAGTTACAGTGAATACAAAAAACACGTTTTAGAAACTGTAGTGAGCGTGTTATTTACATATGCTGTACATTCGTCATAGATTATACATATATATATAAATTTGCCGAAAGAAAGAAACCAAAGGAGGTTTTCAATGTGATTTTAGTTTTTTGTATAATATGAATGAGTGTGAGGTGTAACTATAGTAAAAAAAATGTGTTATTTTTTATGTTTTAAAGATCTAAATGATGGACATGGTGAGGTGTATCTATTAGTAAGCAACTATTCAACATAAATAGCTAATTAATTGAGTGTTGATAAAAAAGCAATTTACATAATTAGAACATTATGAATTCGATGATGAATAGGATGTATAATTAATATATTCATAAAATTGTATAGTAATATAAAAAAGGATTTTTTTTATGACAATATACATTTTCTCCTGATTTCATTCCGATTAATGTTAATGTCAAATAAGAAAAAATAACATATATATATATATAAATATATATATATATATATATATATATATAATATATATTAGAAGTTTAAGAGAAAAAGGCAATAAGGATATAAAAATTGAATACAAGAACATGAAATAACTTGGTTAGTGACAATCAGAAAAAAGACATTCTAAAAGATAAACTTTCAAAAAAAGGGAAAACAAAGAAAATTAAATGCAAAGAAAGTGCGAGATAAGAAAGAAAATAAAACAGGATAAAAAATGATAATAAACAGAAAACGGAAATTGTCTCAAGAGACGAAAGAAAACGGAAAATACAGTAATCAAAAAAAAAAAAAAAAATTAAAAATCTCGTGTCTGAATTGAGTGAAAAATATTTTATTCCATGAACACGAATCAGATATTCAGATTTTTTCTCGTTTTCATAAATTACACTATAAAAATATATAGTACATCTATGATAGCCATTATAAATAATGATAAAGAATTCCCCATGCATTACATTTTGATTTGATTATGACCTTAGACATGTATAAATACACGTAATTTCCTTATCTATGATCTAATGTTACGTAAAGGAATACATGAAGCTGTGAAACTTTTATTTAAAAAAACTATTGATTAATTTTATTTACGTTTTCTTTTCGTTTTCTTTCTTTCTTTTTTGAGGGGTAACTCAAACATTCTGAAATTTCATGGATTCCTTTAGACTTTAAGCCTTTATTAAACTCTATTCTAAGATGGAAATGCGGAGATAGGTAAATGTTCGAATTACTATTTATATACTAATTCTTATTATATGAAAAACGAAACAGGAATGTGAGCAATGTTCAATGTAATTCGAGAAAAGAGGAAATAGTTCAGTGTCAGGACGGAGATGTATTGGATGAATCGAGGAAAAAGGAACGAATAAAAAGGTCATGTTAGAAAGAAAGTAATAAAGATGTAAGAGGCAAAAAGCAAAGAAACTAGAGACCACAATACAGAAGGGAAAAAAATGAATAGAAAATTCCATGGAGTGAAAACGATGAATGGATTTTGAGATATTGGAGTGATGTATTTGAGGCACAATTGACAAGGTTACTGAATGTTATCATAAGTGCTGATTGGCTGTTCATATCAAGGTCGAATCATTATTTTTTTGTTCTTTCTCAAAAATGCAAAATAGTACTACAGAGATTGCGTTATTTTTTTTTTACTATATATCCTTATAAATTATTCTCGTTGAATAAATCTTTAGGGAATCATGAACAAGCTTGTATGATCAAACATGCGGTTTGGAAAATATTTGCGAGTCTCGAAACATATAAATCTTGGTATTACTATCATAAATTCAACGCGAAATTGAAGAAAAATGAGAGCTCTTGCTTCTATTGATTATTGGCTAATTACAAACTTTACCCTACTTCATTAATCATACATAGTTTCTTAATATTACGCCATCATGTTTTTATTCGACACTACAGATGGACACTGAGGTACAAAAAACAGTAGATTGTGAACATTGAATGCAGTGCATGGCTGTCCCAACGTAAAAAAAGTCCTTCAGACAGCCTTGTTCGAAACTATTCCATGCATATCTCTGGTATCCCTTGACGTTTTCTAAAGAGCTACGGACATAGTTGGCCCCTTGTGCACATCGCCCTCACACTGTGTGGTTTACGGTACGTCTTTCGCGCGTTGAAGTCTTAGAGGGTGCTTTAAAGATCTCGTTTGTCCCGGCGGAGGGTCGTTCCAGCGGACCAAATGCCAACCATTTACGAGCTTGTTAGTATCAAAGGACCTTTGGCTGTGACGCTCCTTGCCTTTGGATTTCCCGAGGGGCGGTGGAGGGCGCCTTAGCCAGCGGGCAACAGGGTCCGGAGGAGGAGGACCACGGTGGCGAGGGAGGCGAGGGACGAGGAGACGCTGGAGGCGGAGGAGATGTCGTTGTGTTGGAGGTAAGAGATCTCGTGCGTGCCGTTGGTGACCTTCGTGTCCGCGTCGGGGTCCTCGCCGTCCGAGTCGTCCTCCAGCATCCCCGGTTCCTTCGAGGACGCGTGGATGTCCTTCCCCTCGGGTGGCCTCCGAGTCGCCGTGAGCTGGACCTTCCTGGCCAGCTCTTCGTCCTTGACCACCGTCACGACCTCGTACTCGTAGGTGTTCCCGTCGAGTCCGTGAATCACGTACTGGGGAATGCGACTCCGGTTCATCTCCGAGTGAATGGCGATCAGCACCGTCAGGTTCTGCTGGTCTGTCTGTTGGTCCTTCCAGCTCGTCATATCCGTAGCAAAGGTCGTGACGGTTGAAGTCGTCGTCGTCGTAGCCTCGGGAGTCGAGCTTGACGGCGAGGACTGGGCTGTCGAACCGAGTGTAGGAAGTTCGACGGTTGGACTGAGAGTAGAAAACTCAACGGTAGAGCTCAAAGTATGTGTTTCGGCATCTGAGGAAGATGTGATTTTCGACGTCGATTCATCCTGTTCAGTAGAAGCAGCAGTATGTGAAGCAGGTGTCGACTCTGGATGCCTCGTCTCCGAAGTATCAGGCGGAGAAGTACTTGTCTTGTTGACAGAGTCGAATTCTCCGTAAGATTCCGCTTCGCCGGAACCCAAGTCTTCCTCATCCGACGTCGTGTTTGGAGATGGAAGGCTTCCTGCTGTGGTTTCTGCGGTTTCCTGCAAAGTGGCGGTAGTCTCGCTAGCTTCCGTGGTTGTTTTGTCGTTCGTTGAAGCGTCGTCGAGCGTTTCTTGGTTCGAGTTAAGAGAGTTATTACTGGTGGATATTTTGTCCTCAGAGGAAATGTCGTATTCGATTACGGTGATGTTCGACTCAGCGGCTCTGGCTTCAGCTGAGGCCGTAGTGGTGGCAGAGGCTGCATCGAGCATCGAGACACTTTTAGTTGTCTGATTCAGCAGTTCTCCGTCGAATTCAGATTCTCCACTTTCCAACGAGGATAACGACGACTTGGAGGATATAAAGGAGGAATTCTCTATCGACATGTTGGATCCGATTCCACCAATTTCGAAAGTGGTCTTCTCGGTCTCAGAACTCTCGTCCGATTCCATGGAAGACGAGTACGACGTGGACTTATGATTCTCCTCGTCTTCTTCACTGTAATCCAATATGCTATTTATGTCTGTGTCGTTGTATGCGAGCTCGTTGATTCTCCTTTCGTGTTCCGTCAACGCTGTCTTCTGCGTCGTCGTCACTTCCAAGACAGTTGGAGTGACGGAAGGAGGCGACACGGTGACGATGACGTCGTCTGTGAACTCGTCATCACCGGAGGCTTCCATATCAGCGTCGTCATCGAAGTCGCCGGTCGTCGTGACGTCGAAGCTCGCGTCCATTCCTTCGGGAAGCGTCGAGCCCTCCACCAGGACGTCGACGCTGACCTCAACCCCATCGAAGGCGTCATCGTCCTCGAGGCTCGCCAGGTTGAGGTCGTTCTCCTTGGCTTCTCCCTCGAGGGCATTTCCACCTCCGGCTATCTCATTCTCAGCAGCTCCAGAGATTTCATTGTTTGCTGTTGGGGATGTGATGTTTTTCACTCCAGCTGCTTTGTCAACATCCTCTACATCGTTCGGTTTATAAAGGTGGTCTCTACTATCTTGTGAGATAATGCCTGTCGTAGGCGGTACGTCGATCGTCAAATCATTTTCGATTTCGTTATCAATATCGTCAGTAACAGTCTTCTCGTGCGTGCCAGAGGCGACCGTAGTAACCGCCTCGTGCGAATTTACACAAGTCACCCCTCGATCGGGATCGTTTTCCTCGCAATCGTTTTCTTTGTCGCACGCCTCGCCGAGAGGGACGCATCTCCCCGAGGGACAGAGGGTCATCGTCGCTTCGTCGCACTTCCTTCCGTCCCCTTTGGCCTCAACCCTTTCCTTCGCGACGTCCACGTTGAAGATGAAATTGCAAATGGGGAACTCCTCGTCGTCCGCCGTCCAGCAGTCTCGCTTCCCGTCGCAGAGGGTCGTGCGCAGGACACACTCTCCGCTCGCACAACGAAACTCCTCCTGAGTGCAGTTGACCTCCCGCACTTCCGCCGGAGTACACGGCGTCGGAGAAGGCTGAGCGCTGGTTGGAGGAGGAGGCGCCGCGACCCTCATAGACCTGAAGGCGAGGCAGAAGCTCGAGTCTTCGTCCTCTGAAGTGGGACAGTCTGCAACGCCGTCACACAGCTGGCGATGTTCCACGCACTGTCCCATCCAGCAGGGCACCTCGTCTGGGCCACACTGGTCCTTCTTGCACACTTCGCCAGACTCGTCCCACCTGAACAAGAAAGATAATTTTTTATTTACATCGTTCATATTGTCTGTATATCACCGTATATATTCTATCTTTATTCTCATTCGTATATTCTGTATTTATTCTCATTCGTTTATATTCTATATTTATTCTCATTCGTATATATTCTTTATTTATTCTCATTCGTATATATTCTTTATTTATTCTCATTCGTATATATTCTGTATTTATTCTCATTAGCATATATTTTGTATTTATCCTCATTCGTATATATTCTATATTTATTCTCATTTGTATATATTCTGTATTTATATCATTGTGTGTGTACTGTATCTATACATACCACTGACTATATACTGCATAAATAACACAATATAAACTGAATATGTGCTACTATAGACACTCATCTTATTTATATCACATACTATATCAATGACATTAAATATACTGCCACAACGTCCTACAATCATTTGTTAAAAGAAACCCAACATCAACCCTACCCCCCCACCCCCCAAAAATACAATACGACCTTCATTTAAGTACCTTAATCCTTATTAATCTGATTACCCTTTACACATAACCTAAAAAAAGGGAAGGAACAATGAGCAAAAGCACCAAAAAGTGCAAATGGTGAACAATTGCAGGAATTTTTGCACGTTGCACGATTCAGGGCCATTGTGCTTTTAATCAACCACTTCCCTCTTCTGGTGCTTTTAAAATCCTCTCTCACTCTGCTCTCTCTCTCGTCCTTTCTTCTTTTCGACGCTAATTCCATTTCCTTTATTGGGGTATTATTGGTGTTTTTGTTATTCCTTTGTCTCTTTCTTCTTTCTCTCTTTTCGTTTTTCGTTTTATGTGTGTTTTGTTTTTTGTTCTCTCTCTCTCTCTCTCGCTCTCTCTCTCTCTCTCTCTCTCTCTCTCTCTCTCTCTCTCTTCTCTCTCTCTCTCTCTCCTCTCTCTCTCTCTCTCTCTCTCTCTCTCTCTCTCCCTCTCTCTCTCTCTCCTCTCTCTCTCTCTCCCTCTCCTCTCTCTCTCTCTCTCTCTCTCTCTCTCTCTCTCTCTCTCTCTCTCCCTCTCTCTTCTCTCTCTCCTCTCCCTATCCTATCTCTCCCTATCCTCTCCCTCTCCCTCTCCCTCTCTCTCCCTCTCCTCTTCTCCTCTCTCTCTCTCTCTCTCTCTTCTCTCTTTTGTCTGTATTTGTCTGTCTCTCTCTATCTCTCTATCTATCTATCTATCTATTTATCTCTCTATTTTTCTCTCTTCCTTTCCCTCTTCTTCCCTTTCTTTCCTTCCCCTCTTCCCTTCCCTTCCTTTTAATTAGGACGTACAGGGTAGCTTTATAAATACTCATTCCTCCTTTAACTCCTACCTTCACTTCCCTTCTTCCTGTCTTCCTTCCTACCCTTCTTCCTCCCTGCCTTCCTGTTCTATCCTCTCTTCCCCTTTACCTCTTTCCCTCCCTTCTTCCCTACCCTTTGTAACCTTCCCTTTCTCCCTTCCTTTCGACTCTTTTCCATCTCCTCTTCTTCTCTCCCTCTTCCTTTCCTCTTTCCCTTCCTCCCCTTCCTTATCCTCCCTTCCCCTCTTTCTCTCTCCCTCCCCACCACTCCATTCTTCCCTACCTTCCCTCCCTTATCCTCCCTTCCCCTCTTCCTATTTCCCTCCCACCCTCCCAACCCTCTTCCTCTTTCTCCTCCTCCCTCCCCCCTCTTCCTTCCCTCCCTCTCCTTTTTCTACCCATCCCCTATCCTTCCCTACCCACCCATCCCTCTCCCCTCTACCTTTCCATCCCCTTTTCCCCGTCTCCCCTCCATCCTCCCCTCCATCACCTCTCCCCTACCCTTCCCCCTCTCCCTACCCTACCATCTCTACCCATCCTTCCCATCCTCTCTACCATCCCTACCCTACCCTACCCACCCCTACCCCTCTCCCTACCCATCCCATCCCTCCCAATACTCCCTCTCCCTTCCCACCCCCTCTCCCTACCCATCCCTCCTCTCTATCCCCTATCCCACCCTCCCCTCTCCCCCCTCACCCTCTCCCTACCCATCCCATCCCTCTCCCATCCCTCACCTACCCATCAGGACAGTCCTCCACGCCGTCGCAGGTGAGATCCACAGACACGCAGCCGCCGCCAGAGGGGCACTTGAGAGCTTCCTGGCTGCAGACGGGGCAGCCGTACTCGTCCTCGCCGTCTGGGGGGAGAGGGGAGGGTGAGTAGGGAGATTAAGGGGGGGTAGGGGGAGATTGGGGTGGCTAGAGGGGGATAGGGGGAGAGGGGAGGGTGAGTAGGGGGTGAGGGTGGGGGGAGAGGGAGATTGAGGGTGGGGGGTAGGGAGATTGAGGGGGGTAGGTAGATGGGGAGATAGGGGTGGGTAAGGGGGACAGGGAGAAGGGAGGGCAAAGGAGAATGAGGTGAGTAGGGGTAGGGAGGTGAGGGAGATTGGGGATGAGGGTGAGTAGGGGTGTAGGGGGAGGGGAGGGTGAGTAGGGGGTAGGGAGTTGGGGGTGAGTAGGGGGGTAGGGAGATGGGGGTGAGTAGGGGGTAGGGAGATGGGGGAGAGGGGGAGCGGGGTGGTGAGTAGGGGGAATAGGGAGATTGGGGTGGGTGGGGGTATAGGGAGATGGGGGGTAAGGGGGGAGGGGAGGGTGAGTAGTGGGTGTAGGGAGATGGGGTGGGTAAGGGGATAGGGAGATGGGAATGGGTAGGGGACAGGGAGAGGGAGGGTGAGTAGGGGGGGGGGCAAGGGAGATGAGGGTGGGTAGGGGGACAGGGAGGTAAGGGCGAGTAGGGGGGATGGGGAGAGGGGAGGGTGAGTAAGGGGGGTTAGGGAGGCGAGGGAGATGAGGGTGGGTAGGGGAGTAGGGAGATTGGGGTGGGTACTGGGGATAGGGAGGTGAGGGTGAGATTGGGGTAGGGGGGGATAGGGAGATGAGGGTGGTTGAAAAACGTGAAAAACCGCGGACAAATGAGACACACAAAGGGGTTATTAAACAACAAAAGGAATTGTTTTGACTTCAAGACTTGACGGGGAGGAGAGGGAGGGGAGAAAGGGATTAAAGGAAGGGGAAGAAATAGGAGAGAGGGAGGGGGAGGGGAAAGGAGAGATGGGAGGGGGAAGAGGAGAAGAATGAGAACGAGGACAGAAGGAAGGGGGAAAGGGGAAGACGAGAGAAGGAGGGGGGAGGGAGAGGAGAGGAAGGAAGATGGAGGGGAGAAGGAAGAAGGGAGGGTTAAGGAAGGAGAGGTGAAAAAGGGGTAGAGGGAAGGTGGTTAAAAGAGGAAAAGCAGGGAAAGGAGAGAAAGAAAGAAAGGGGGGGAAGAGAAGAGAAAGGGAACAGAAGGAAAAAGGATAAAAAAAGAAATGGGAATGAGACAGAGAGGGAGAGGATTAAGGAAGGAGAGGGAAACGGAACAAAAAAGAAGGAAAAGTAAAGAAAGGGAAAAGGGTAGAAGAGAAATTGAAAGAAGAGAGAGAAAGTAAAAAAGAAGAAGAGAGGAGGATGGATAAGGAAAGAACAGAGAAAGAAAATGAAAGAAGTGAATAGCCTAATAGAGAAGAGAAGAAGGGGAGGGGGGAGATAGTGAGGGAGAAGAGGATGTTAAGAAAAATACATAAAAGATAAAAGGAAGAGAGGAGGATAGATATAGAAAGACCAGAAAGAAAAAGAAGAAAGAGGTGAGAGAGAAGAAGAAATACGTGAATAACCTAAGAGAGAAGAGAGGCAGGGGAGGGGGGTAGAGAGGGAGGGGGGGCCTTTAAAAAAGTACATTTCTAAACAAGTGAGACACACAAACAAGAGAAACAATGACAGTTCCTTTGTTCTGAGATTGTCAGGACTTTCCACTCCATAATTTATTCTTAGAAGAAGAAGGGAGGAAGAAAGGGAGAGAAGGAGATAAAAGGAGAAACCGATAGAGACAAATGCAAATAGACCAAAGAAAGCACAGATAAAGGGAGAGATGGAGGGGGAGAAAATAGAGATAAAGATAGATAGATTGGTAGATAGACAGATAGATAGGTAGGTAGACAGACAGGGAGATAGAAAGATTCCCTAAGAGAAAGGGAGAGAGCGAGCCAAACAAAGAATTTAGAAAATAGAAAGAGGGAGAAAGAGAAATAGATAAAAGCGAGACACAGAAAATAGATAGAAGACAAAAAACAAGCAAACATAAACACACAAAAACAACAATAGTAACAAACAAAGACAAACAATTAAGAACACAAACAACAAACACAAAAAGTACAACAAAAATACGACTCCATTGACCTCTACAAACAAAAAACAAACAAAAAAACACCACAGACCTCTACAAACAAAACACACTAAAAAATACAACCCCACAAACCTCAAAAAAGCGACACCACAGACCTCCACAAACAAACAACAAACGATAAAAACAACACCACAAACCTCCACAAAAAACAACAGAAAACAAACCACGGACCCCCACAAACAAAAAAAACAACACAAAACAACACCACAACCTTCCACAAACAAAAAACACAAAAAAACACCACCCCAGACCCCCACAAACAAACAACAAACACACTAAAAATACAACTCCACAAACCTCAAAAAAAACACCACCACAGACCTCCCACAACCAACAAACAAACAAAACACACTTAAACCCCCTTGGCACCGACCTCTACAGTCCTCGTGGCCGTCGCAGTGCCACGGCCCCGGGATGCACACTTCGTCCCAGCAGCGGAAGCCGTCGCACGGGGACCGGTCGCAGCCCACTTCGTCAGCGCCGTCTGCAGGAGGAAGGCGGGGAGGTTATGGTTTTGTTTTGGGTGTTTTTTGTTGTTTTTTTTTTGTTGTGCTTTTTTATCTTTTATTTGTTTTTTATCTATTTTCTGTATTTTTTCGTTTGTGGGTGTTTTTTTTTGTTTTGTTTTTTAGGGGGGAGGGTTTTTTCGTTGTTTGGGTTTAATGTTTGTTTGTTTTCTGTTAGTTTTTTACTTTTTTTTCTTCCTCTTTTTTTTTGGGGGGGGGGGTGGAGGCATTTTTTTTGGGGGGGGTAATATTTATGGTTGCTTATGTGGAGGAGTATTCTGTGTTTGTTTGTTTCTTTCTTTGTTGCTGAATGATCTTGTTTGTTTGATTAGTTGATATCCTGTATGTACGTATTTTTCAAATTTATGTGTATTATTTCTTTTCTTTTACATGTGTGTGTTTTGTAAAAAATATCTGTTTTGAATAACCGTTGGCTAGTTTGTTTGTCTTTGCCTGTCTGTCTGTCTGAATGTCTGTTTGTTTGTGTGTGTCTCTGTCTGTGTTTGTTTGTGTCTCCGTCTCTTTGTTTGTGTTTTGTCTGTGTGTTTGTGTTTGTTTCCGTGTGATTTCGTACTCTTAAAGGTCACATTTGTTTGTTTCTGTAAGTATAGATTGTTTGTGAGTACGTGTACACATGTTTCTTCTTCTCCTGTGTTTGTTTTTGCTTATTTCTTTGTCTTTGTTGCAAATTAGCACCTTATTTCACTACGGCATAAAGGTTTGACCAATCATACCGTTGATTCAGAGCACAAAATCAATGACGAGTCGATGGCAACAACACGCCACGTTGACAATAGGGTGTTCCTCGAATATAAAATGAGATTAAATCGGTGCACGCGTGTTGGCAACGCGTAATTACCCGATACACAAATGACTTTATTCTGCTTCGAGAACAATGAAGCTTGCATAGTTGCAGGACCGGAGACAATGAGGTTATGTTGCAGTAATTGATATATCAGCTTGGTCGTTTCAATGCTGTAATATGTTTATGTTGTTATTGTGAGCGTCCGCGTGTGTGTCATCTCATCTCTCTTTGTTTATTTGTTTGTTTGTTTGTTTTCTCTCTCTGTCTCTCTCCCTCCCTCTCCCTATCAATCTATCTCTATCGCTCTCTATCTATCTCTATCTATCCATCTGTTTACATTCTCTCTCTCTCTCTCTCTCTCTCTCTCTCTCTTCTCTCTCTCGTCTCTCTCCTTCTCTCTCTCTCTCTCTCTCTCTCTCTCTCTCTCTCTCTCCCTCCTCTCTCTCTACCCCTCCCTCCCTCCCTCCTTCCCTCTCCCTCTCCCTCTCCTCTCTCTCTTCTCTCTTCTCTCTTCTCTCTTCTCTCTTCTCTCTTCTCTTCTTCTCTCCTCTCTCTCTCTCTCTCTCTCTCTCTCTCTCTCTCTCTCTCTCTCTCTCTCTCTCTCTCTCTCTCTCTCTCTCTCCTCTCTCTCTCTCTCTCTCCTTCTCCCTCTCCCTCTCCCTCCTCTCCTTCTCCCTCTCCCTCCCTCCCCCCCTCCCTTCTTCTCTCTCTCTCTCCCTCTCTCTCTCTCTCTCTCTCTCTCTCTCTCTCTCTCTTAACGAACGTATAACACAACGCCCCACAGCCTATTCACATATTATCAATATGTATGTTCATTGCCTCTATAACACCATTACTTCCATAAACATTAATTAAGCAAAACAAACAATATTCGGATTTATCTGTAGCAACAATACCATGTCAGAATACCACATACAGAACCAATGTGTTCTGTATGTGTTCCTGATTTATTATAATTATTATTGTTGTTAATATTATTATTTTATTATTATTATCATTATCATTATCATTATCTTTATTGTTTGTTGTTGTTATTGTTGCTGTTTATTGTTGTTGTTGTTGTTGTTGTTGTTATTACTGGTAGTAGTAGTATTACTATTATTATTATATTCATTATTATTATTTTACTATCATTATCATTATTATTATCATTATTATCATCATCATTATTATTATCATTATTATTATTATCATTATTGTACAATCACGTCCATCTTTTCAAATGTTCAAATGAAAAAATAAGATATTATATATAAAAAAATCGCATCAGAAGTATAAACTGGAAAAGTACATGCTTCAGTTCTTTTAAACTCAGCAGCGAATTCAAAAAAAGAAAAAAAAATCTGAATATTAAGTTTTTCTCTACTTTTTCTTTTTTTTCATTTGTCTTACACATTTCCTCTTCAATTTTTCTTAGTCTCGAAGTCTGAGAACCACTAACACTCACCTGGGCAATCAGGTGAACCGTCACAGATCCAGTAAGGTGACACGCAGCGTTCGGAACCTGGACATCGGACTTGGAGGTTCGAGTAGCACTCAGACACGCCGTCGGTTGTTCGTTCTCCACCAACTGTCGGAGGGCGAGGAGTGGTTAGAGTTTTTGTAAGGTTAGTTGGAGGAGTGATATAGGCTGTGGGTGATTTGATGGGATGGTGTGTAGACAAGTGGGTGTGTGGATGGATGGACTTGTATTATTATACGTACACACACATATATATACACACACGTATATACATACATACATTATATATATGTGAATTATGACATATATATTTGCATTTACTAGCGCTGCAGAAGCTCCATAGTATAATTCTTTCTCGTGATCGAAACTGTGGTGCGAATAACGTGAACGAAACCGCGGTGCGAATAACGAAAACGAAACTGTGGTGCGAATAATACCATAGTTCCTTAGTGTTTACAAAGTGAAAGTGGCGATAAGGTGTTACATACTCGTGCTCTCGATGCAATAGCTTTATATGGGGGTAAATGGCGCTGTCCACCCTAGTTAAATATGCAGTAAGAACGACAGGGTACGTGCAAAATGAGTGGAAAATATAAATTAGTGCAAAATATACCCTACATAATGGATGAGATACGTAACAGAACAGAACAACACAGCATTTTGGTTACTATAGGCCTACTCAT